GAACAATGTGTGCCCGCACTCGGGGCTGGGACACCGGAGTTCTCCCCGGTCCCCGCGCGGCCGTGGCCTCTCCCCTGGGCAGTGGGTATAGGGGCAGGGTCTGGGCCTTCTGCTCTGGGGAGCAGGGGGCCCCGCATCGGGCATGGCCCACTCTCCAGGCACATCAGGCGTACGTCCTGGTCCTGCCCATGTGGGTGGGCCAAGCTGTGCCCACCCGGGGGTGGTGGGCTGAGGGCTAAGGCGCTTTGGGCCTCGGGTGGGAGGCTGGGGCAGGGCGACCCCTCGAGGCTGGTACAGCTGGGCCCCCGTGACCACCCTGCTAATCCCCTGAGGGAGGCTGCAGTCGCCCGCAGGCCGGCAGCAAGAGGACCCTCGGGGCAGGATGCACTGGCTCCCAGCAGGTAACAGGGCTGCAGGGCAGGTGTGCTCCTCCCTGCGTTGACCGACCCCCCGGGGCCTTGAACTCCCAGAACCTGGTTAGGGACCGGGGCCAGGCAGCGCCGGAGATCCCAATAGGACCTTAGAGGTTCTGGTGAAGGCTCGGCCACCCAGCGCTGTGTGACCTTGTGCGGAACTCTCGCCCTCTCTGGGCCCCTTTCCCCGCCTACAGGACAGGAGCGGGTGGCACGGAGCTGATGGCACCTTCAGCTCTGATGGGCCTTGTCTCAGCCCAGGAAGGAGCGTGGGAGGGGGAGGGGCTGGCCCTGACTTTAGGGGCGCGTGGGCTTGAGCCCCCCGAGAGCAGGCGGGTGTGGAGGAAGCCTTAGAGGTCGAGGGGAACTTCGGAGAGGCTGGGGCCTCCACGCAGCCCCTGGAGGTGGGAGCTGAGTGCTTTCCCTCTTTGCAGACCCGCTGGGGCGCTTGGCCTGTGGCTCCTCCTCTCTGGCCTCAGGTCCCCCCCTGGCGCGGGCAGGTGTGTTGGACCAGCGATGGGACTTCCCATGGGATTCTTTTTAGCCGACAAACAAAGACAGACTCTTTGTGTTTTTTTTTTTGCCTTTGTCCTCTTGATGAGATATCGAGACTGGAGACAGGGCCCCCCACCCTGCGCCCTCCGCAGTCCCCCAGAGCACCAGGATCCTGGTTGGAGAGCCACCCTTCACCGCCCCCTGGGGTGGGGGCTGGCACTGTCCCCCCTTTCCCAGGGGCCAACAGAAGGGGGTGGCCAGTGTTAGGCAGAGCTGACACCAACCCCTGCTCTCCCCTGCCACCAGGGCCGTGGGGGAAGGAGGGTGGCCCTTCTATGGGGACCGGCACCTCTGCCTCCAGAGGGCAGGAGCCGGCCTCGGGGAGACCACCTGTGACCGTAGGAGAGGACCCCGCCTGGACGGGAGGCTGGGGCTGAGCTGGGGTGGGTGGGTGATGGGTGGTACTGCAGCCCCAGGAGCAGGTGGAGATGAGATGAGCTGCCTCCTAGGCCCATCCAGGGCCCTGGGGGCGGGGGGAACTCCTGTCCCAGCCCCACCTCCCTGGGTGCTGAGTGCAGCTGGAGGGGAAAGGGGGGGGGCCTGACTCATCCCCTGTCCCCCACACCCAGTGCCACGGGGGGGGGGGCAGGAAGTGTTCTCAGGGAAGCAACAATGGCTGTGTGAACAAAGGCGGGGTGGGGGCACCCCAGGAAGCAGCCCTCCAGGCGGGCCTAGGGGAGAGGAGCCGCCGTGCCCCCCCTGCTGTCCCCGGCCCTCTCCGGAGTCTGGGCGCCTGGCAGAGGGTCCCGGGTCTTAGACGGGGCCACGCAGGCTGTTTGGGAGTAAGACCGGCCGCTCTGGGCAGAATGGCCTCCTCCTGGGCACCTGGCCCCCACTCCCTGGCTCCCAAGGGCTTACAGGACTTGGGGGGCCCTGACAGCAGAGGCTGCTGGGTAACAGCCCAACGGGGCCCCTGATTGGCTGCTGCCCTTGGACTTTGCCCTCCCGATAAGGAGGAGCAGAAATCATTAACTGAATCATTAACGGGACGGCCCCGCCCCACCAGCCGCCTGCCCTTTCTTTCCACCTTCCTCCTCCTCACTCCCTCCTCTGGGCCTCCGTGCCCGTCCCCTAAGCCGGGGTGTGTATAGGGGGGGGCCTCCTCTCCCACCCCAAAGTCTCCAGCCCCTGCTGCCACTGCGTGGGGGTAGCCCCTGGGGTGGGGTGGGGGTCGGATGAGGTAATGGTCTGAGCTCTCACTGGGTGTGCTTCGGGGTCTGCTCACCGTGGGCATATCTCCGCACCTCTTTGTGCCTCCATTCTCTCCTCTGTAAAATGGGAGTGCAGTTGTGGTCCCAGCGCCTGCCTCTCGGGGTTCTGATTGGGTAAACGGGGCCTGTGCGGGGCCTAGGACAGTGCCTGGCAGAGTAAGGCTCCACAATGCCGGGCTGGATTGCGCGTGCGGTCCCACAGGCAGGCTCACGGGGGTATGTCCTCGCTTGGAGGATGTATTGGTCCACAGGGTAGGCTGGGGCCTTTGGCTGGCGCTGTGTGCCTTGGGAAAGCCCCTTGCCCTCTCTGGGTGCTTTTTCTAACGAGGAGACGGTTCGGCCTTGTTGCCCATGCTCCCGGATGGGTCCGGCCCTGCCTGGTCCTGGTGCCTGCTCCTGGCTCCTGGCTCCTGGCACCTCCAGCGAGGCCCACGGAACGCTTCACCTCAGAGATTTGGAACTTGGGGGTGGGCAGGTGGGCCAGGGGGAGGGGCTTGACAAGGGGATGCTGATGGAGACCTGCCCTTTGTCTTTACCTGCCGCACAGGCCTGAGGTTTTGCACATGCTGTTTCCCGGGAACCCTGGAGCTCAGTGGAGGTGCTGGTGGGTCCCCTCATTTCCGAGAGGGTGGCTGAGGCAGAGAGAAAGGTGATGTGTCCGGCTCACACGGAGTGACCACTGCAGAGCTGGAACAGGGTCCTGGGTCTCCTGACCTGCAGCCACTCACAGTGGGTGCCAGCCTGGAGCGAGGCAGGGCGTGCCCGTGCCGAGGGTCCTGGTCAGCGCTGATGGCTGTGCTGGTGACTTCTGCCCACCCCTCACCCTCTGGGCCTCAGAACCCTCACTCAGAAGGTCAAGGTTGTATGATATAAACAGTGAGACCCCAGGAGTGCCAAGGCCTGGAATAGGGAGGGAAGGAAGGGCAAAACCCAGGCCCGGGTCCCCACTGGCCTGGACTATGGGCCAGGGGCTCCAGGGAACCCTGTCCCCCTCCTCCAGGCCGCATCAGTGGGAAAGTGCCTCCATCGGACCGAGGTCCCCCTAGCCCCCACAATGCATCACCCTGCGGAGTTTGAGGCCCTCCCTCCCTCCTGGGCCTTCGCTTCCTCCCCTTTTCATCTCTCAGGCCCCTGTGCTCTTCTCCCTCTGCGGGTCGGGTCTCCCTCGTGGGGCCTGGGGCCTGGGGTGGGAGGAGGGCGATCCCCATCCCCTGCCCTGCCAGCCTGCAGGGGCTGCCTTTGTCAGGGCACTTGGGGGTCTTGACACCGAGTTTGCTCATTTAGATCTGGCTCCAGCTGGAGCCGACGGGGAGGTGTGTTGGCCTGGGCCTGCCTTTGGGTCTGTGTGCACGCATGTGCACGCGTGTACACGCCTGTGCCGTGTGCTGAGATGTGAACATGCACAAGCATGCTCGTGCCCCAGGGCCTTTGCACTGGCTCCCACACCTGGAATGCTCCTCCCAGGTATCCCTGTGGCCCACCTCGTTTCTTCCTGCTCTCCGGGCCCCAGCCCCTCTCCCGGCTTTGTTTTCTCGTAGCCTCTGTCACCTTCTAAAACGCGATGGACTTTCCTGACCTGTCATGTGGCTCTGCCTCCGGAATGTCAGCTCCACGTGGGCAGGTCTTGTTTATCTTGTTTACTGCTGCCCCTGGCACATGGCAGATGCTCAGTAAATAGTTGTTGGAATGAATGAGCACGTATGGAGCATGCTGGGGTGTGGACATGTGTGTGTCAGTGTGGGAGGGGTGTGCCACCGTGTATATGTGTGTGTTCGTATGTACAAAATCATGTGCGTGCCGGAGGATACCTGGCTGGGAGTACGCCCTTGTGCGCACACATGTGTGTGGGATACGGATAGAGACCTGCCCCTACCCCATGCTGCAGGGTCTCTATCCCACCTTTGTGGCCTGTCCGTCATGGTCCCTGTGGGAGAGGACTGGGGGCCTCAGGCAGGAACTAATGCAGCCCTGGGGACTCCAAGGGCCCCATGGGGCATCATGGGGCGCTAAGGGCTGGGGATCCCCAGAGCAGAGCAGGGGCTCCTGGGACTAAGGCGGGTTCCCTAAGAACAGGACACAGCGGTGGGCTCAGTTCCGTTGGACCTGGCTTGGGGGCATCTGGGGCTGTGAGTTCAGCCTGGCGTCCGTGTGGCGGCTGGAGGAGGACACAGCTGAATCCCAGGGGTAGCCAGAGACTGCAGGTTCCCCAGAGGAGGCTGCTCTCTGCAGAACGCGGGAATCTTCTGCGTTTTTAACAAGAAGTGGAGAGGGAACAGAGACAACTGTGGCTTCGATTTAAGGACCTGCTGGCAGTGGCTCAAGAGCTACATCCTTGTCCCTCAGCCCCAGGTTAACGCGATCTGCTGCAGGGATGCAAAACCTGGCTTACAAGATCAAGGGTCTGACCTGAAGGCATGTTAAGTGAGAAGACTGGCCACAGGGGACAGCCAGCAGTTATCACAGTAATCGTAGATCATATTAATAGAGATAGCAAATCCAAACCAAGGGAGGTGAGAGACCACTGTGCCCTGTCCCTGTGTGAACTGGTTTGGGACAGGTTGATGAGCTCAGTCAATCCTGGGAGATGAGCCATAGCCCTGGGGGCCTCTGTAACTGGGGTGATTGGGGAGGGGTTGCGGGGGCAGGCAGGCTGACCCGTGGCTAGCACCACGGCCTGGCGGCGGGACTGTCGTGCATAGCAGCGTGGCGCTGGCCAGGCCTCGGAGGGGCTCGGGAGAAGGGGCAGGGGCCCTCCGAGGCTCCTTGGAGCCAATTTGCAGCAAAGGGGAGCGGCACGGGGGACAGTGGGACAGCGGACAGGAAAGGAGATGGGGTCCCGAGAGAGACGGAGACAGCACTGCGTGCTGAGTGAGGAACGGCCTCCTGGGGTAGGCGCCCCCACCCTCTCCCTGAAGGCGCTGGGCCCTGCTGCTCTGATAGAGAAGGAAGCCGGCCAGGACAGGCGCTTGCTGAGGTCGCACAGCGGGGGGGCGGGGGGTGCTATGTTGGCAGTCGGGCCTTTCTGACCCCAGGGGCCCGTAGGGCATCATGGGGTGCCCAGGTGGGCAGTCTCCTGGCCACTACCACCCTGACCTCCTACCACTGCTTGGGGCCAGGGTGCCCCTCAGACTCCAGCCCTGGGGCGGACACTCAGCACAGTGGGGGCACAGGCTGGGGCCCCGTGCCCTGTGGGCCACGGGTTCAGGTGAGCTCGGCCTGGCCAGCGTCCTTAGGCCCTGGCCTGCCCTGCCCACAGCCACGTGGCTGACGGGATTTCCGCCATGTTTGGGGCATGAATTGACAAGTGCCCCATTGACGGGCAGGGGGGAGGGGGTGGGCAGGGCACAAGCCACCCACTGTGCCGGGTCCCCACCCTCCCCGTCCCCCAGGACAATGGCCGAGACTCAGCCAGTGGCCACAGCTGGTGGGGAGGGGGTGGGCATGAGCACGAGGAGGGGGGAAGGGAGGGGTCCAGGGCGAAGGACCACCTGGGCCCCAGCCGCCCTCATCCCGCACCTGGCTCATGGCCCTTCCGTCCCCTTCTGCCCAGCTGAGTGGCCTTAAAGGAGGGAGGGGCGTGGAGGGAGGGGGCTCCTTCCTGCAGCCCGGGCCCAGCCTCCTGGGAAGGGGCAGTGTCTGGATCCTGTTAAAAGCAGGTAATAAAGGACCGAATTAATGAGAAGCATATGGGGTGCACAGCTCGGCAGGGCAGAGACGGTACCTGGAGGGGCCCTGTCTAGCCCTGGCTCCTGACCACAATGCGGCCTGCCGGGCAGAGGGCCCCAGACCCAGACAGGCCTGGCTCCGGGGTCCTGCTGGCCACTTTGCTCGCCTGTCCCGTGCACATTGATTGAGTGCCTGCTGAGGGCTTAGCTACGTGGATCCAGACAGGACAGTCACCCTCTGGGCCTCCGTTTCCTCATCTGTAAAATGGAGACCAAGAAAACCACCTGAGAATTAAGGATGTGTCGTACAAAGTGTGTGGTGGCGTTGGGCACGGTGACCACGCCGTGCATGAGAGCTGTGGGAGCGGGCAGACCCGCGCCCGCCTGTGGTGTCTGTGCCAGGCAGGAGAGCAAAGGGCCTGGTGAGCAAGGAGAAAGGGGGCACCACCCAGGAGGCTGGAGAGGCAGAGCGGCCTCCCGGAGGGACTGACGTTTAAGCCCAGCCCGGAGAGCGCTAGGAGGGGGCTCCCTGGGGCTCCGTAAAGGGGCAGGGGCGGCGGGGATGTTTGTCCGGGACAGAATGGGCAGGACCATGGAGGGCAGGACCATGGAGAGTTGCAGGGAGGAAGCTGGGCAGGAGAGGAGGCTGTGGGCAGGCAGGGGCCGAGCTAGCCAGGCCTTGGGCTGCGAGCTTGGGCCGTGGCTGAGGGTTGGAGAAGCGGGAGGGCGGGGGGCTGCTGTGAGCTGGTGGTACCATGTTCTGGCCATGGGACTGGGGCGGCCTCGGCCTCCTGGGGCGGTCCTGCAGATGAGCAGGAC